GTACAATGGAATTCTTTCTTTGCTGTTCCTCCATTCGCCAATAAAATCCTTAAATTTCTTTAAAAAATGCACAGAAAAGAGCATGCAGTACATGTGCAGATTAAAGTTACATGTACAAGTATGTAATAAATAATAATAAATAATAAATATAAACAGTCTTCTGACAGCAGCAGWATAGTGCAAATAAAATGCAGTATTAGCTAATTTAAACCAGTTCAGAGTGGGAGGGGGACAAGGTGGTGAGTGATGTGTTCACAAGCCTGATGACCTGTGAATAGAAACTGTTTATCGGTCTTGTGGTCCTAGACTTCACACTCCTATAGCATCTGCCTCAAGTGGAAGTGTGATGAGTCTGTGCTGAGGGTGTGTGCTGTCCTTGATTATGTTGTGGGTCTTCCTGATGACCCTGATGTGATAAATGTCCTGCAGTGAGGGAAAGGCTGCTCCTGAGATGGACTGTGCATTTTTAATCACATGCTGGAGAGCCTTTCTGTCCTGAGCAGTGTAATTTCCATTCCAGACCGCAATCGAGCTGGTAAGAACACTCGCTATAGTTCTCCTGTAGAAGGTGCAGAGAACTCTGGTTGACATGCTAAATTTCTTCAACCTTCTCAGGAAGTACAGCTGCTGCTGGGACTTCCTGATGATGAGTTGTGTATTGTAAGACCAGGTGAAATCCTTGCTGATGTAAATACCAAGGTACTTAAAGGTTGTCGCCCTCTCCAACWCTGTCTCACCTACAGGGRTTTGACAATGAAAATGAAAAACCTGTAATTTTAGTGTGGGACATTTCATGGCTAAGTTGGACCAGCCTGGTGGCCAGTCTTCATTAATTGCACATTGCACCAGTAAGAGCAGAGTGTGAAGGTTCAATTAGCAGGGTAAGAGCACAGTTTTGCTCAAAATATTGTAATGCACRCAACATTATGGGTGGCATACCAGAGTTCAAAAGAGGACAAATTGTCGATGCATGTCTTGCTGGCGCAACTGTGACCAAGACAGCAAGTGTTTGTRATGTAAGAGCCACAGTATCCAGGGTAATGTCAGCATACCACCAAGAAGGATGAACCACATCCAACAGGATTAACTGTGGACGCAAGAGGAAGCTGTCTGAAAGGGATGTTATGRTCTAAAAACAGGTTTTCAGTTTCATTGTCTAACCCCTGTGTGTACAAGGGTGTATGCAGCTCCTGCTTCTTCCTTGGATCACCCATCATTTCCTTGTTTGTTTGCATTCAAGGTAAGATTGTTATCATGACACCAGGCCACCAGCTCAGCCACCTCCCTCCTGTATGCTGTCTCTTCTCCACCAGTTATCAGTCCAAGGACTGTAGTATCATCAGCAAACTTGATGATACTGAAGTTGTTCTGGGAAGCCACACAGTCATACGTGAAGAGCGTGTACAGAAGGAGGCTCAGCACACAGCCCTGAGGGACCCCTGTGCTCACTGTTCTCATGCCGGATGTGGGGCTGCCAAAGCTGACTGACTGTCTGTTAGAAGGTATGCAAACTGAAAAGGATCTATGGTGTTAGGAATGGTCTCCTGGAATACTGTAAGTCATGACTATCCTCTCGAAGCACGAAGTATTTCTATCCAGTGTTGCATTAATTTTTCACCAAGATCTTGCATTGACGATGATGAAGTATGACCRCTGCCCAAAGCCTTCTCCAGCACATCCCAAAGATTCTCAATGGACTCTGTGGAGCCAATCCATGTRTAAAAATTATGTCTCATGCACCCTGAACCACTCTTTCACAATAAGAGACCGATGAATCCTGGTGTTGTCATCTTGGAATAAGGCCGTGCCATCAGGGAGGAAACAACCCATTGATGGAATAACCTGGTCATTCAGTATATTCAGGTAGTCAGCTGATCTCATTCTTTAAACACATACTGTTGATGAACCTAGACCTGACCAACTGCAGAAACCCCACATCATAGACCTTAGTTAAATCCAGGTGGCCACTTTTTTGTTGACCAGGCAGTGTATTTGTACATACAAGTAAAATGTTGTGTAAAAAAGAGAAAATGCACAGCAGATTCAAATAATTTGATATATGTTGTTAATCTTGTAAATAAGAGATAAGACATCATGGTATACATTTAAAACATCATTATGGTATTAAACATTATTAGCATCATTAGCCCACTGTCTGTCTGACTTAAATTTTCAAGAAATCATCTTAGTAGGTGATTTTAATTGGGACTGGCTCACATCAGCATCCAAGGATTTYAAGAATTACTGTCTAGCTTTTAATTTTTCTCAAATTTTTGGAAGTCCTACTCGCCCTAATTTTAAATATCCAGATAAATCATCTCTCCTTGATYTTTTAATCACCAATAWGCCACATAAATACTCACAACTGCAGTCTTTGTGAATGRTATGAGTGATCATTGTGTTGTTGGTGCAGTTAGTGATATCAAAATCCCTAGTTTTAAACCTATTCTTATCCAAAAAAGAACTATGAAGCATTTTAATGAACAAGCCTTCCTTATGGATTTATTCCATTTTAACTGGGGGCACATTTCCCTGTTTGATGACGTTAATCTTGCCTTGGACTATTTTTATGACAGTATTTATTACAATTGCGAAACAAATGTACTGCTGCCATAAAAAAAGCAAAACAGGTTTATTATTTGTCTAAGACTACAAAATGTTTAAATAACCCAAGGAAATATTGGCAAACTGTTAGGACTCTTGCAGGTAACAATCATTGCTCAGATTTTCCCCAGTCATTAACTATAAATTCCTCTGTGGTATCGGATAAACCAGAGATGCTAAATTGTTTAAATAGACACTTTGTTGCCTCTGGATCTTTATTTGATGCTGTCACTGGTGTTCAACCTTTAATTTCCTCTGTGAAACAATCCCCAAACAAAAACACTTTTTCTTTTTCATACGTGTCCGTCAGTGAAGTTCTTAAGGCACTAAAGAGTCTAGATCCCCAMAAATCTGCAGGACCTGACAACCTTTCTCCTTACTTTTTACACTTRGCAGCAGACATTATAGCTGAACCACTCTCTCATAATTTTAATCTCTCTTTACAAACTAATATCTTTACAGACACATGGAAGGCTGCTTTTGTTCTTCCCCTATTAAAAGGAGGTGATCCTGGTCTGCTGAACAATTATCGTCCTTTTTCAAAACTTTCTATTTTATCCAAGGTTTTTGAAAAACTAGTTAATATCCAACTTAAAGATTATTTGCAAGCAGCTAATATCCTATCATGTCACCAGTCTGGTTTTGGGAAACASCAYAGTACAGTTACAGCCACCATAAAAGTTGTAAATGACATCACTGAAGCTTTGGACGCTAATCACTTCTGTGCTGCTCTTTTTACTGACCTGTCTAAGGCATTTGACACTGTTGACCATAGTATTCTTTGTCAAAGTTGTCAGCTATTGGTTTATCAGATAATGCTGTAAGTTGGTTTTCTAATTACCTGTTAAATCATAGCCACTGTGTGCAACACAGTGGTTTGTCATCTGATTATTTAAATATCACAAAGGGTGTACCACAGGGTTCAGTTTTGGGTCCTACTCTGTTTTCAATTAATGTAAACAGTGTCGGGGAAAAAAATTACTGATGCTTGTACACATTTTTACGCTGATGACACTGTTGTTTATTCCAATACAAAATCTGTAACTGCTATGCTCGGACACCTTCAGTCTGCATTTGATATTATTCAAACGGACTTGCTTCAGCTGAAATTAGTCATAAATGCTGTAAAGACAAAAGTCATGCTGTTTGCCAATGAGAAGAAAGTTCCACAAACTCTGCCCCCTATAAAAACAATGGGCCTCATGCAAGAACATGTTCGTATTCTTATCCTAAATTTCTCTTACTTTTGTTCGTACAAAAGGGTTCGTACGAACATGTCACGTCAGATTCAACAAACTCTTCTATCTTCAGGAAAAGTGTGTAAATGAGCTGCGTAAATTCCACCTGTTCGT